TCGACACGACGTGCGTGCGAGTCCTTTCCATTTAAAGGTGCCCGTGCCGACAAAAAGAGTCGGTCTACTCTTTTCCCAAACTACCAGAAGCCTAAGGGCTCCTTACCGCGCTGGAACTGTCTTGAAGCGATAGGACAGAGGTCGAGCATGTCTGCTGCTTCAGCAGAGCAGGGCTGCGCTTTTGTACATCTGTACACCCAGGCAAAGCTAAGCATGATTGCGAAGTCTCATCAATGCGCCATGTCCGTAAGATGTAAGCAAACTTTCCAGCAAGGCTTGTCTCATAAAGTGTTCAGCCACATCCTATATGGCAGCTTCCGAAAATAGGGGACCCTAATATAGTACCCCAATAGTAGAATCCTTTTTATAAGGACCCCGAAATGAGGTACCCCTAATTTTCGGGAACTCCCATATCAAGCCTAGACTGGAAGCGCACGTGCAAGTCTTGGAGAGATGTTGATCTTAGAAGCACACCAGGTACCTGCGCAGAGAGCTTCTTTCTTGCAGCTCTGTTCTAAGAAGGCCGGTGCAGCCCAGAATACTAATATCTTATGCTTGACATACATGCATATACTATATATAAAAAAGTATGTAACATATCAATAGCGTCATTTTTGACATATGGCATATCGTACATCATTATTGCTACATTCTATGTCTTATAAGCATATAACACATCAGAAGCAATATATATATATATATATATATATATATGTATATATGTATATATGTATATATGTATATATGTATATATGTATATATGTATATGTATACATATATGTATACATATATGTACATATGTGTATATATATATGTAATACAATAACTGAAGTGCCTCCGCAGCACCACCAGCCCAACTATCGAATTTTGATCTTAGGCCGTTAAGCCTGAGCACAAAGCCTAGATCTAAGTGTCCCTTTACATTTAAGTGTTGTTCTGATCGCAGCGAGCTCTGGCAACTGCGCCAAGCTGCCCTCACTGCGTTCATACGAGATTGGACACACTGCGCACTGGAGACCGTAGAAGCGACAGAAACAACAACCCAAGGCACAACCAGGACCACACAACACCACTACCCTAAGAAACTTACGTGACTTAAGCCCTTACCTACACTTTGACTACCCGGTCGGTGTCAGGCTGAGATATTCATTCACACTTTGTGTCTCAAGGGGACATGTAGTTTTTCAGTGAGCCCTGCATTATTCAAGAAATCTCTCGACTCCAGAGATCCAATCTCCATGAACCTGGCAGTCTTCCGCGTTTCACTTCGCAGACTCCGAGCAGTTGTTTGTTCCTTTTCTCTGCTGAAGCTGTAGCGGCACACATAATCGCGGCTCGAGAGATGTAGTCGCGGTGATCGTCTCGTCGTATAGGAGGCACGAGGCGCTGGCGATTGCGAGAGTTGTCACATTCGGAGCGGGTTGCGACAGAGGGAGCAGCGCCATAGTGGCGATGGTGTTTGTGACTGCAGTTCCTCCTAGAAGTACCAGTGGTAGTGATTCGGTTGCATGCATCGTCGTCATCGTCCTCGGAGTTGTCGTAGTCGTGGCCGTCGTCGGTGATGCAGTGGTAGAGGTAACGTTGGCCGTAGTCGTAGCTTTGACTGTATTTGCGCAGGTGTGCAGTTGGTTGGTTGTTTTTCTGTTTGGCTCCTTAGTTGTTTGATGCTTCACTTGTAGTTGTAGTTCTGCTAGTTCTGGCAGTAGTAGTAGTAGTAGTAGTAGTTGTAGTAGTTGTAGTAGTAGTAGTAGTAGTTGTAGTAGTAGTAGTAGTAGTAGTAGTAGTAGTAGTAGTAGTAGTAGTAGTAGTAAAGTAGTCGCTGTCGGAGTTGCACCAGGTTGCAGTTATTGTTGTCGGGGTCCCGTCATCTGTGACGGCGTCGTTCTTGTCGCGGTTGTCGTAGTGGCAAAGCTCAGCAAGCAACCAAAAACTCGCTCGGAGGCTGGCGCTTGCAGGGAAACGGCTCGAGGATCTCGTCATGCTTAGGGCTCCCTTCAAGTTCCTGATTCGGCACAACACTACATCGGGAAAACTAAACCCCGGCTGAGAGATCCGAAGACGGAGCCTAGGTTTGCCACAGAGGCAGCGCCCTTTGCCGCTGTTAGCACTGCACAGGTTCTCGGTCTTTCCGGGAGCATGACTTCTCATTTCTGTTTCAATGTTTATTGGGCTTCACGATGCTTCCTCCTCTATAGGACTGCATAGACCGGTTTGTTCCAAGTCTAGGACTCCCGTCGAGACGAGGCCAACGTTGAAGGGCTCTCAGGGTTGAAAAGGATCTTCTGGCTCAACTTGTGGGAACTGACAGGGCAACAGCTTTTGGAGGGCCGGCGAGGAGTCTATACCTTTCATGTGCAGGCGTAGCGCGCAGTCGACACTTTGATGTCCATCCTGATTTTTTGCCTGCGGTGAAAAGGGATGGTCACCAGTATGTGCGAAGACCTACTCAAGGAGATTGGCCTCACAACACAGACCATCCCTTGATGCTGCCGACGGCAGGAGATGGAACTTTCTTTTGAAGGCAGAAGAGATGAGGTAGACTCAGACTCATCACCTGCACTTCTTCTTCCGATAGGCTTGACTGAAGTGGTGCCCCAATCAGTGGTAGCGGTTCGGTGCTTGCGGGCTTGATCACTTCCTGGAGGCGTTTCATCATGCTCGTAAAGTCTTTATGGCCACCTCATATGTCAAGCCAGAGCTCATGAGCAATGCAAGAAAGGGTCATCCTAGTGCCCTTGATCTTCCCCACAAGAAACCGACAAGACACTGATGTCACAGCTACGAAGCCCGCCTGCACATGACCAGTCAGGGAGTTTCCGCTGCCCGTCATCTTCATTTTAGCCGTAGTCAAAGACTTATCAGGATCCGGGTCTGAGCGTCGGGGCTGTCCACTGAAGCAGGAATCCTCACATCCGTGGCTGTCTTTGCATAGGGACCTTGTTTCAGCAGAGCTCCACCGCTTTTAGCACGTTGACGTAGAACGGTCTTCATAACGGGACAAAAAGTGCGAGCATCGGCACCTCAAGTGCCAGGGCACCCGCCGCTAGCAGGTATGGCACAGCTTGACTTGATGCTGCTTCTGTGCTCGAGTGCGTGCTTCAGGTTCATGGGGCTGAGGGGCACGCAAGGTTTTAAGTACTGGGTCGGTTTGGTTCTTGACAAGCAGCCCCACCCCGTGACCATCGCAAAAGCCTTCGCAAACTCGTTTTCTTTGTAGCGTGCACAAGTCACTACAAGCTGAAGAGCTGAACCGTGAGGTATTCCCCTTGGCCTCCACCAGCTTTGTATGCACAGCGGACCCGACGAGACGAACGACCACATGATCAGTTGACATCCACGCTGGAGCCTTGCAACGTTCACTCCTGTTTCGCTGCACCCGCCACGAAGACTTCCTGATCACAAGAGAAAGCACTGCGCATGCCTTCAATGCGACTGAAAGCGATCAGCAACCCTGACTTCCTACTCCACTGCTGCCCACCTTAAGTCCTCCACACTTATAAGATACCTGAGTCAAGAAACCCAGAGCCCGACGCTGCCACGCCGCCAACGCCGAGCTTTCTCTGTGGCTCGCGCGGCGAAGTTTCGCCCCTCTCATCCTCCAGTGTCTAAGCAGGCGGGATTCTCCTGGCACATACCCAGACCCAGACATCGAGGTAGCATAAAGACCGTGCAAGTTGTGGAGTACACAAGTGAAGTTTTGTGTTTGTGCGTGGATGTAGATTGTTCCTGAACTATCTAGCTGTATGTGCCTGCATGTATTAGGTATTTGCAGACCTCGACAGGTACACATATATGCAGTATGCCACATGTTTGTGCATGTGTGTATGTTATGTCTACACCTATATCCCATGAAAACTGTATACGTGTATGTGTATCTGTATTTTCATCTACATATGGATATACACACTAGACGAACATATGGACTGAACGTAGAGGGGGAGAGAGAGGAAGAGCGATATGCACAAACGGAATCATATATACATATGCATACATATGTATACATATATATATATATACACACACATACATATACATATACATATACATATACATATACATATACATATACATATACATATACATATACATATACATATACATATACATATACATATACATATGCATGCATGCGTGTTGACATACATGTATGCTTACAGCGCCAACTCACTGAGACGCACAGCGTGTGTACATAATAGCTTGCATTAATTGTCAATGTATGTTCGTTCCGAAGGCTGGACGGACGGATGGCTGGCTGGAGGGATGGACGGATGCAGGCATACTAGCTGCTAGAATCCGTTTATGAAGCAGATGGAGGCATGGCTTCATGGGAAGCTCATAGGCAGGAAGACGTAAACATTGATGCAGACACAGGCTCGATAATTTGGGCATATATGTTGCCCCAGTCGTTTTTGCCGATAGAGCTTGACACAAGCCACTCACGCATCAAAGGCAAAGGTGTCTATTGATCTGTGTTGCTGTGAAATGGCTCGTGACACATAGTAGACAATTTCGGAGGTCTTCGGGGTTCTGAACCATGATATAACAAGTTCTCCAGGACACCCGCGACAAATCTGCGAATCGTGTTGAGGACGACGATGACGACGTTTTTAGGCTTTAGTCTTCGCAGCCCGAAGACTATTCTATGCGTCTTCACGAATGTCTAGTACAGCACGTCACGATATGCTACATGTGGTATTCTGCTGTGTCCGCACATCTTCAGTTAGCTCGAGCTGTCAGTTTGCAAGCCCTGTAAAGGAAGACGTGCAGCAACCTCAGCCAGCTTGACCGGATGAAGATCTTCAGCAGGCGTGTGTGGGTGGCATTTCTTACATGATAATTACTACACATTCCAAGATACATGATATGGCAGATCTGGCGCTTGAATCAGTGAATCAACGCTTTTTGTCTCAGCGAATTGGCTCTATGATGTTGGATTGCAAAGTGTGCTTTTTCGCCAGTGCCGGCCGAGGTGTCGGCGATTGAAATAGCGAGCGTTGCTCATGTCTCCTCCATGCATCGTGCTGTTGGGTGAGACAGGCCATGGCAAGAGCTCAATTGTGAACAACTTGCGCGATCCAGGCATCTCTGCAGCAGAAGTTGGTAAGCGTGGTGGTGGCGTGACACGGCAAGTCGCGGCATATGCCATGCCGTCGGAATGGAATCTGCAGGTGGTCGACACCCCAGGCTTCGGCTGCGTTCACATGTCGCTCACCAGGATTATCGCCGACGTCGAGCGGCTTTGCGCCGAAAAGGACGTGAGAGGTATTGCGGTGACCTGTCCGGTGGATTCACCTCGCCTGATGCTCGGAACACAGGTCGTGCAGGCCGGAAACGGGGTATGTCCAAACACACGATGGCCCAAAGCTTCCCTTCACATCATGAGAGCATTTCTGGGTTTGTGGCACGGTGCAGGCGAGAGCATGCGACACATCACAATTTCAGCAGCAATGATCGCGCAGTGCAAGCGGTTGTTTGTCGGATCCTAGTTAACAGTGATGAGCGTCATCAAGCAGTCAAGCATGGTTAAGTGTTATTCTTCCTAAACTGGCAGTTGATCTCGAAGCCTATCCCTCATCAACCGATAGCTCCGGGCTAGGAGGCTCTTACTTCCGGCATCGGGAGCTAAGCGGAGTGGGCTATACATGCAGCGTGAAGAATTAAGGCAGCTATAAAATAAGTAGCGCCACAGAAAACGTTGCCTTTCCTGTGCAGCAGACAAGCCCGGTGAAACTTGCGCCGTGCAGCTTTAGCACACACCTGCCAGCAGTCCCTTGGTGCGATCACATGCACACAAGATCATCATTCGTCAAGCCACTGATTCGGTGCACTTGAGCTGCTCATTCCAGGTACTGATCTCTCTTGGTGTCCGTGAGTGTGAAGCGTGGAACCACATAATCTTGGTGGGCACCAAGCAAGACAAGGCCGACGATGCCGATCGTTCATTCTTCCAATCTGAGTTGGTGCCGCACTTTTTCTGCTCTGCGCCAGACAGTGCCAAGCTCCATGCGCTGGTGCAATCGGACGATTGCAGCCAGCTAGCCACGGCCTTGCAACGGCTGCCAGACAGCGCGCTTCTGTACCGACCGCCTGGGGCTCGGGAACTGGCATCGCGATTGGCACCGCTGCTCGGGGAGGAGGTGGACAGCTTTGCCAAGGCAGTGTGCGCGGCGCGCCAGGGCGGAGAGAGAAACGCCAATTTGAGCATACTAGTCCTTGGAGAGTGTGGCGACGGAAAGAGTACTCTGATCAATGCCATGCGGGACCCGGCCTGCCAAGAACAGCAAGCTGGCAAGAACTTGAGAGGCGTCACCAAGGAGGTCCGCTGCGTACCAGGACTGCCTCTTGGTGACATGGACGTCAAGATCTACGATACTCCAGGGATTGGTGACATGGACATCTCACCTTCGGACCTGTGCATGATGCTGGAGGCAGTACTCTCTGGTGGAGACATCGACGCCATGATTGTCACTTGCCCTGCAACTAACAAAAGCATCCGCCTCGGAGGGCGTGTTGTGCAGCAGCTTGTCGATATGGGGTTCCATGGTGAAGATCGATGGGCCCGAATCATTTTAGCAGGCACGAAAGCTGATAAAGCCGATGATGAAGAGCGCAGAAACTTTCAGACCAGCGTGAAGGCAGACTTCTTCAGCAAGGCACTAGCAGCTCGTGAGGACGTTGGGAATGCGGTGCTGTGCTCCAATCAAGCTGGTGGTTACGAGGATCTGAAGCAGTCTTTGCTCAGCTTGCCTGTGGGAAAGATTAGTTACAGACCTCCCCCAGACGTGCAGTGGAGCCAGCGCATGGCTGGCTTACTGGGCGTGGACCCTGCTATGCTCGAGAAAGAGAGGCAGGAGCTACAGAATTGTCTTGGCGATCTTGAGGAGCAAAGGCGGCAGCTCCAGGAGTGCTGATTTCAGTTCATGTTTGAGGTGTCCGGGATGTCTGGGTACGATACCTTGCAAATTACCGTCTGTACTTGCTGCATGAAGCTCGCAGGAGACGCGGGCGGCCCTTGCCATTCAGGAGCGCGACTTCATCAACCTACGCACCCATGTCGCCGCCGAAGAGGCCAGGCTCCGGAGGGAGCTAGAGGAGCAGCAGCAGGCCCTGGAGCGTTCTCGAGCGGACCAGGAGCTTCGTGGCGAAGCGGATCGCCAGCAGGCCGAGCGAAGAAGACTGGGCCTGACGGAAGCACTTTCCAGACTCCGACAGGAGAAGGACGTCATACTGAGTCAGGAGGCGAAGGCCCTGGAACACTACAAGAAGAAGCTAAGTCAAGAGAAGGAGGAGTTTTTGAAGCATGCGGAGATCCAGAGGCAGCGTCAAGTGCAGGAGGCGACTTATGCCTCCCGCTTGACCCGAATCGAACGATTCTTAGCTTCAACTGTTGCTTCTGTGAGATCCTGGCTCCCGACTTTCTGACCGGCAGTGCCGGCAGAAAACGATTGCTTGTCGTGGCTTGTTGCTTCCAGACACAGGAGGATGCAGAGTCAGCACACTCCGTGTTGTGACAATGTAGATGAACCGCGTGCAGCTGACAATCCAATTGCAGCAGGATCTTTCGGGATTGTAGGTTTGGGGATCCCTTCATCGTGAGGAGCCTCTGCTGTCAACCCGCATGCCCGTCGGCCCGAAAAAGATGTCAGTTTTGCTTTCTGCTAGCGCCTGCGTCATGCCTCCACTGGGAGGGTGCCTGTTGAGCATTGCGTCCGCATGCGATGCAGGTCCCTCTCAGCTTGCAAGCTCCAACTCTGGCAAGCATCGTGGCAATCCAGGCATGCTGTGGGCGTGCTGCATCAATCCATGTCAAATGCCTCTCACAAATTCAAAGTCCTACTAATCAATCTGTAGCGCTGATGCTCTCGATGAATTGCTGGGTGTAGGGGCGGTTCTGAGAGGGCGACAGGCAGAGAGATCATGTGTCCAGCCTGGCCGCAGCACTTGCGCCTTTTGGCTGGCAAGGCCCTTCCTTGGATCAGGTTGCTTGGACGTGAGGCCCATGGCACGCAGCGACCCCATCAACATCATGGTTGTGGGCGAGTGTGGAGATGGTAAATCCACCCTTATTGATGCTCTGCGTGACAAGGCCCTGTCCGAGCGGCCTTTGACAGGTAAGAATCCGGCTGGTGTGACTAAGAATATTGTCATGTACCCCTGCCCAGACTTGGGAAGCTGCCCCTTCAACATCCTTGATACTCCAGGCGTTGGTGACCATGAGGTGACACCAGTTGCCTTGATCAGCATGATTGAGGAGTTTTTGACAAAAGGCATGGTCCCCGGTGGCATCCGCGGCTTGGTAGTAACCACGCCCATTCCGGACGGCAGGATCAGGCTGGGCGCACAGATTGTTCAGGCGATCGTCGACAAGGGCTTCGTGGCTTCGGCGGGGAACAACAAGTACGGCAACATCGTACTTTGCGGCACGAAGAAGGACAAGGCCGACGAGGAGGACATTCAGAACTTCCTTCACGGCACAGATGGAGATGACTCGGTTAAAAGCTTGTTCTTCAAGCAGTCGCCGCATGAGACCGGCCCATGCGCCTTGGTGAGCAAAGACGATTACTCTCCACTGCTCGAGGCAATCCGCCAGTTGCCCGCCAGCAGCATCGCATTCCAGAAGCCGGACTCCAAAGTGATGGCGGAAGCTCTCGCTGCGAAGCTCGGAATGCAGCCGGAGGAGTTGGAGTCGCAGATGAACGTTATGCGCCAGCTTGTTGAAGAGCAGAGCAAGCAGGTGAGAGATATGATGCTGCAGATGCGTGAGGATCAGATGCAACACCGAGAGGTGATGAAAGAAAAGGACCAACAGATGCAACAGCTCATGCAGAAAATGCAGGAAGATCAGAGGAGGGCGGACGAGGCTCGGGCCGCACGAGATCAGCAACAGGAAGTGATGCGCCAGCAGCAGGACCAGCAACGGCGTGCAGAAGCTGCTCAGGCCGCCAGGGTGCAAGAGCAGCTTATGCAAGCAATGCAAGACGAAGCCAGGCAGTCTCGAGAGCAGATGGAAGCCATGCAGCGGGGGAGAGAAGAAGCTGAAGAGCGGCACCGGGAGTTTGCATTGCAGATGCAGCGGCAGCATCAGGACCAGCTGAATGCTATGAGAAACTCCAGCAGGAGCAGTTGTGTTGTTAGCTGATTCTCTATCTTGTTATGTCTCAGGCACGCTCGCTGCGCCGGTACCGTACTGGACGGTACGGCGATGTGCTGGTTTCCGATTATCATCAGGGGAGTCCATGGGATGCGAGCTCGCTATCATCCCTTGCGAACGGAGTTAAAAACTGAGGATTATGCTTCCAGCATCTTCCAGTGCTATCATGAGTGCTGATGTTGCAAGCTATAGCGGTGAGCGGTGCCTTCGTCTCGCTGCCAGGGACACTGGCTGAGTGACCGAAGTGGCGGGGGCCTTGGCAGTGTTGACACGGGGTGTAGACACATGTGAGTACCCTGTGTCACGAGACAAGACATGCAGCCATTTGCCAACCAGCTCAGGGTCTTACCAAAATTACATTTTTATCTACCATAACCATGAAACCTAACACAAGACTTGTCGGAGCCCTGCAAAACGTGAGCTTCGGTAGGCTAGACTTCGAGACTCGAGCAGGAGATTGCACACTTTGGCAGGCCTGTGCTGCACCGAGGCTGTGAGGCTCGCGGTTCTGCGCTTTGGGCTTCTGGTCCTCAGCACGAGCCCTGACTTTGGTGCGTTCTTCCAGAGACTGTCAGCAAGTCAGAGGATCTTGCCCATCCAAATGACTCGGATTTACCTGAGAGACACATCAGCAGAACCACATCCCGTAATCAGCCGTGAAGCAGTCTCTCAAAATGACACAGAGACGTTCCGCAGTCCCTAGCTTCCTCAAGCTGAGAGTCGGTCTTCTCCTGCTTCACAGTTCTTCAAAGCGGTTGTTTGCATAGGCTTGGGCCCGACATTGCAGCTGTTCACAACTATTTTCGGGCTTTTGGTCAGGGCATCCAGCTTCACATGTAAAGCACCGCCTTGTGACTGCCGAGGCATTGGCTCCAGCTCGGCATTTCCTGGCAGGCGGCATTTTTTGCTCGGTGTCACCAGCATCCAGAGCTGGCAGTACATCTTACGCTCAGATTGGGGAGGCTATCAAGCTGCTCACTGCAAATCACATGTGTAGCGTGCAAAGAGCCTGGACAAAAATGTGTCCGCGTCTGCAGCAGCTTTGTTGCAGCAGGCCCTCGAGTGCTTAGCCTAGACAATAAGGGATTTGCAGGGAGCAATGGCTTGTGATGATCCCATCAATATCTTGGTTGTGGGCGAATGCGGGGACGGCAAGTCTACACTCATTGACGCCTTGCGCGACAAGAGCAAATCAATAAAGCCTTTGACGGGCAGGGATCCAGCCGGGGTCACAAAAGACGTCATGCTCTACCCCTGCCCAGACCTGATGATGAACGGGACTTCGTGCCGTTTCAACCTTCTTGATACTCCTGGCGTTGGTGACCATGAGGTGACACCAGTTGCCTTGATCAGCATGATTGAGGAGTTCTTGACGGCAGGCATGGTCCCAGGTGGCATCCGCGGCCTGGTCGTAACCACGCCCATTCCGGAATGTAGGATCAAGTTGGGCGCGCAGATTGTGCAGGTTATCGTGGACAAGGGCTTCGTAGCAGCAGCTGGCCATGACAAGTATGCGAACATTATTCTCTGCGGCACCAAATCAGACAAGGCAGAAGAGGAAGATCGAGTGAACTTCATGCACGGCACTGATGGAGGAAGCTCGGTCAAGAGCCTTTTCTTCAAAAAGTCGCCTGGCCAAACGGGCCCATGTACGATGGTGAGCAAACACGATTATTCCCCACTGCTCGAAGCAATCGTGAAGCTGCCATCGACTAGCATTGCGTTTGAGAAGCCGGACGCAAAGGTTATGGCGGCGTCCCTGTCGGAGAAGCTCGGCATGCAGCCCGAAGAGTTCGAGTCGCAGATGACGGCCATGCGTCAGCTTGTCGAGGAGCAAAGCAAACAGATGAGAGATACCCTGCAGCAAATGAACGAAAATCAGGCAGAGCACAGAGCTGAGATGGCAAGAAAGGACAGACATGTTCAACAGCTGATGCAGAAAATGCAGGAAGATCAGCGCCGGGCAGAGAAGGCTCGGGTCACACGAGAGCAGCAGTTCGAATTGATGCGCCAGCAGCAGGACCAGCAACGGCGTGCAGAAGCTGCTCAGGCCGCTAGGGTGCAAGAGCAGCTTATGCAAGCAATGCAAGACGAAGCCAGGCAGTCTCGAGAGCAGGTGGAAGCCATGCAGAGGGAGATGGCCGAAGCTGAAGAGAGGAACCAGAGACTGCTGATGGAGATGCAAGCGACTAATCAAAGATCCATACAGGCCATGGAGTCCTCAAACTCCTCTCCTCCAATGCTCCCGCTGTTCGTCAATCTGTGTACGGCTGCTCTCACTGCCTATACGAAAGTGCGAATGCTCAACTGAGTTTTCGGAAGCAGAATGTTGCCACCGCCGTATGATTGTGCAGTGTCCGATCGATGGTGTTGTACATGCACGGGCCAGATCCAAGCGGTGAAAGCCAGCTGCAGGTCTGTCCGAAGAGGCAGCAAGTCGCTATAACCTTTCAGCTTGCACGATGCGTCCTTGACAGACATGTATAAAACCAGCCTTGCCTTCGTGTTTTGCTGGTTGAGATCCAGAGCAAGCTACAAACACCAACTAAAGATTTGGGTTGCAGGTTTTCCGCATGCAGCTGTCAAGCGGTTCTTCCACATTATCATTTGCACCAAGTTGGTACTCGCCGCCGGTTCTCACTTTTCGTCGTACATGTTCTCTCTTCTTCTGTAGCAACTAGCAAAACAAGCTGAGAATGTGACCAAGGTGCCTAGGCATGGCAGGTGCAGTCTATCGAGCAATCATTTTTTTGGCAATCGTGTTGCAACTGATGGTCTCAAGGAGCTGCGCAACTGTGGGCGGATGGGCGCCGCAGGTCCGGCGGGGCCGAAGTGCAGTTGCGCATGGTCTGGGTGATGAACGAACATCAGTCAAGGCGTGTCTGGCTTTGTGCCTGCTGCCACCTAGGCTATCAACGATCTGAGTATCTGCACTACTGCTTGCTGGCGGCTCTTAACTCTTGCGTGCCAGTGTTTATGGCGCACTTCAGGCAAGTAAGCGCTTGACTTTGCGTGACAGCATTGCATGGCGAGGCTGCGCAGAAGCTAGTACCAAGTAAAAACAATAACAAGGATGGTAACAACAACAACAACAACAACAACAACAACAACAACAACAACAACAACAACAACAACAACAACAACAACAACAACAACAACAACAAGAACAACAGCAACAACAACAACAACAGGGATGGCAACAAGCCTTGATGAGGTGGTTTTGAGACCAGCCCTGGGGTTAAGCAGCCATCAGAAGGCCGGCGGCCATGCAGCCCACATGCAGTCGACAGAACGGACCTGGCATAGTCCAGGCTCTTCCGCATGGACCCCGGTCGCAGTGCGGCGCAGGCCCGATGGTGCGTGTGTCAAGCGCTGGCAGGTTGCACCAGGTTCCCAGCAGCAGAAGGTCCGATGAGTTAGAGTCTTTCGTGTTATAGAAAACTGACTTGTTGCTCTGCTTTGTATTGCAAGCATTGGAAAGTGACGCTGCTGTTGTTTCTGTAGGAATTGACTTACAGCTCTTATCCTGCAGCTGGCTGAACTCAAGGACTCTCTCAGCAAGCCTGTGTGGGATTTGAGCGTGGATGCAGCCTGCCATCAATTTGTTGGTAGTTGGAGAGTGCGGTGACGGCAAGAGTACATTGATCGATGCCCTGCGGGATAAATCCAGATCCTCGCAACCGCTGTGTGGCAAGAGCCCTCATGGTGTCACCAAGAACGTGATGGTCTACCCATGCAGCGTATGCGGAGAGCCTGCATTCAGCCTGGTGGACACGCCAGGGGTTGGGGACCATGGTGTTACCACTGCTGATTTGGTGAACCAAATTGAGCATGCCCTGCTGCATCAAGACCTAAGCGGCGGCATCCGAGGTGTCCTTGTCACTACACCCGTGCCAGATGGGCGCATCAGACTGGGGGCGCAGGTTGTCCGAACCATCGTGGACAAAGGTTTCCTGGCGGTGAATGGCCACGACAAGTTTGCGAACGTCATCCTGGTCGGTACGAAAACAGACAAGGCAGACGAAGAAGAGAAGAAGAACTTCATGCATGGTTTGGATGGTCAGCCTTCCGTGCAAGAAGTCTTCTTTCAAAATTGCACGATCCCAAACCCCTTGTGTGTCATGGTAAGCCGAGAGGATTACAGCCCACTATTCGCAGCAATTCGGCAGCTGCCGGCCCTGGCCATCCAGTATCGGCAGCCCCCACAGGAGGTCTTGTCGCAAGCATTAGCTGAGACACTCGGCACGGGGATCCAGCAGATGCAGGATGTAGTTGAGTCGCAGCGGGTGGAAATGGAGAAGATGCGCCAGGAGGCGCTCCAGGAGAAAGAGCGACAAGCGCAGGAGGCCAAGATAAGCCAAGAAAGGATGAGGCAGTTGGAGACTCAGGCCGCAGAGCGCCGGAAGCTCGAGCGCGAAGAGCAGCAGCGGCATGACCAAGAGATGCAGGCCCCTCAGCCCTTGACGTGATGTAGGATAAGTGATCATCCGGATGTGGTAGGTCGGTAGGTCAGCACTCCTAGGCCAGCAAGGCTAGTCAACCTCAACAGCCTCGAGTTGGGGCATGCAACCGACAAGCGCCGCAAACAGTCTTGCTCTTGCTGCCCCGGGAGCCACGTGCGAGTAACATCTTCGTAGCTGCTCCAATATGTGTTCGGGCATCTGATGGATATGCTCCTCAAGCCCTTGTTTCTGCCAGGAGGCACGAGAAGTGGCAGCTTGTCGGCAAGTTCTCCACCGACAGGAATGCCAATCTCCTCGAAATCTTCACCTTGCTCAATGTGACGGGTGCATGCAGTTTCCAATTTGCGGCCCTCGCTTCAAGTGCACGCTGTGCCCGGACTATGACTTGTGCTACTCCTGCTTCCGGAGCGAGTTGCATGGGCACATCATGTTGAAGGTCCACAAAGGGATCGCCTGTGACGGATGTCTCGAACCACTGCTCGGAAGACGTTATATGTGCACGGTGTGCATCGACTTTAGCAGCTCCTATGACCTTTGCCATGAGTGCTTCAGCGACAATGGTCACCACCACAAGATGCTTGAAGTCCATCAGGGCATGGTCTGCGACGGCTGTGGCCAGCGGCCCATCCTCGGAGAGCGATTCGAATGCATGCGGTGCTCCGATTTTAGCCTCTGCCAAAGTTGTCAACGGCGAGGGGTACACTCACATCATGAGATGCATCTCGCCATTGAACCTCTTGCGGTCTTGCCGTGCCGTATTCAGTAGGAGGTCTAGCTTGAGTTTTGGCTTGCAGCACGGTTCTCAATGAACTGGTAGTACAGTGAGTCGTCCATGTGCTGTGCCAGAGAAAGCTCTTCTGCGCAGATGCCTCTTCATGAAAGCGTAACATTTGCGAGACTCGCTGATGCATTTGATCAGGTTGCCATGTGAAGTCAGTCACAGACGGCAGCATCGTTAGACGTTGCGGCCTCATGCCGGTGTGATTTGCAAGAGCTTGCAAGATGCACTTGAGCAGAGGAGGCTGATTAGGATGCTTTTGCAGACATGCAGGTGCCAGGCGACTAAATCTCCCAGATCTTGAGATCGCCTGTGCTTTCGGCAAATGTGTGGGCAGTTGGTGGTCAAGACTATCTGAGGTTCTGCAGAAGCATGATGGGGTCGGTGATGTGGAACAGCATGGTCATCGCCACTAAGCACTGCCTGCCTCGCCCTTCCAACCAGTCGTCTGCACGCCTGAATCCCGACGAACGATCCTTGCCCCCGTGACGAGGGTAACGGGAGCGGGGGAGACCAGGGTGCCGAGTGGGATGCACCCCTAAGCTAGTTTTGCTTCAACAACTTGAGCCAACACCCGTTCTTACGGACACTTGTCTTCGCATAAGTGCGTTCTAGCTCTGTTGGTCTGCCGCTCTCCTCCTTGGCGGCAGCTGATCCTTGAAGGGGCCGGCATGCAAGGTCTCGCCGCTTTCCTCCGGCGGAGCCCCCATTCACATCCAAAACCGTTTATCCAGGAGGATTCATTGATTTCGCATTCTAGTTCACGTTCAACTCTCTTATCTGCAGCAGCAGCCGCATCTTCTTAGCAAGGCATCCGGGCACCTTCGAAGCGGCGGTTTCTGTGTCAGGCACAGAGCTTTCAGAGTTTTCAGCTTGAGCTCTCAGGTCTGCGGAGTGCCATGTTGAAAACCAGCAAATTTAATTCCGACACCGCAAATGCGCGTCGTCTCCGTGCTTCAAGCGGGCCTGCATCCAGTAGCTCCGATCCGACGGTTACGAATCAAATGCTAACAAAGAGAAGAGTGTGTGGCTGAGAGTTTCGCATGTCGGATGCTCACACTATGCAACTCGTAATTCCAGTTCTTCTCCTATACACAGTGACCACGTCCCATATAGAGCCATGGCGAAGCTCGACGGCAACGGCCATGAGGACGAGATCGAACTGGCCTTGGGCGCGCTCTTCCGCGCCTATGATCTCGACGAGTCCGGGGAGCTCAGCCGGGAAGAGTTTTTGGCCATCGAGATGCGCCTCCACTACGAGGATGGCCAGGTGTATCGGGGCGATTCTGGCAACGCCAAGATGACGATGACGGACAAAGATTCCAGTGGCTTCATTGACTACCAGGAGTTCCGAGTGAGGACGCTGACCTCTTACCAAGAGATGGGCCTATCTCGGGCGGAGGTTTTGGCGCACATGGTCGAGCAAACGCAGAAGGCACTGCTCGAGAGGGCCAAAATGGGGCCCCGGTACCATGCAGGAATTCGACAGACGCTCCGTAGCATCTTCACGCTCTTCGACGTCTCTGGGGACGGCTTCCTCTCCCCCGAAGAGTGGATCTCCGCCCAGAAGACCGTGGCCTCTGAGGTGAGCGACGACTTAGATGAAGGCTGGATCGATGAGGCGGCCTTCTCAGCCGCAGACACCAACGGCGATGGGATGCTGGACATCAACGAATTCCTCGAGGCCAGCTTCTCCATGTTCGAAGGTGTCAAGAAGAGGTCGGACGCCATTTTGCAGACTCTGCAGCGAATTGAAAAAGTGTTGCATCAACAGCGGATGGCAGACCGCAAGGAGACGGCACCTGTCACGATCTACATGCAGTCAGCGGAGCGGCCACCCTTCCAGCCGCCTTCGCTGTCTTGGCAGGACGAGCCCACAGATCCCGACGAGCCCAATGAGTCTTGGAAGGACTGTGGCGAGGTGGCATTACCTTTGAACTTAGCCACCGCCGAGGATGTCATGTCATTGCTTCGACTTCATCTTCGATTGTCTCATGACACGTGGATCTCTGTTTACTACCTTGGTCCTTCCCGTGAGGGCTCAGGACCCCGTGCAGTGACGTTGCTCAGGGGCGAGCGGCCCGGGGAGGGCAACACCACAGCAATGCTCTCATATCTGTCGAAGCCCAACGCGGCTCTGAAGCTCTTCGTCAAGAACTGCCGGAAACGGCCAAGCAAGCTGGTCCGGCAGCCGCGGGCGTTCCTAGAGGAGCGCGATGCGCTCTTCGCGCAGCGTGCTGGGGCTTCTTGGGGCCTGGACTGGGAGACGCAGCTGGTGGGAGAGGGGGAGAAGCTGCCACCGCGGCCCATGATCATGCAGGTCGGCGAGACTCTGATTGTAGAGGTGCCCCAGGCCGATGACAACGGAGAGTTCAGATACATGGCCAATGCCTTCATGGACAAGACAGATGTGCTGAGCAAGCCTGTGAACGAGGTGATCGAGGTGAAGAAGGGGAAGAGCAAGAAGAAGAGTGGCCCGGAGCCGGACCCGCTACTACAGCTTACCTTCATAGCATTGCGGGAAGGCAAGTGCGTCTTCTTCGTGGACGTCAGCTGGGAAGACCAGGAAGAGAAGTTATGTCAGCGACAGCAACTTCCCTCACCCGTGGCCAAGAACACCGTGGCCAGGATCGGGCCTGTCGAGGTGGACGTCCAAAAACCTGGTGGCGGGAAAGCGGAGAAAGCGGGTGCTCTCCAGTGGTGGAACGGCGAGAAATGGAGCAACAAGAAGGGTCCGGCCAAGAAGAAGAAAGGCAAGAAGTGACCCATGTCTAAGAGCGGGCTGCGTGTGCATGTGACTCTGCGTTCTCCGAGAGACTCGGCGGGATCACTTGGACTCGCAGCCTTTGTCTCACCAGCGTGCAAATTCCACCGAACAGCAGAGGAGTGTGCACGAATTGAAACAGGCATATGCGTGCTGCTACTGTGGCTGTTGCTACTGCTGCAAAGCCTCACATCTTTGCCCACTCGTGCCCTCTTTAATGGTCGCAGGGCCAAGATGGGATGGCGGAGCAAGGGGTGGCCAGGTGCGGGGCATGGCGAGCAGGTTGTGGGTTTGAAGAGCGGGTGGAGTTTTGCCCTGTAGGTATGCGGGCAATATAGTTATAGTGAGTATTGTAGTCGATGCTGAATTTGGCTGTCTGCAGGTCACAACATGATACCCTGTGCTCAGGTGTCAAGTTCGTGGCAGGGAGTTCTGAGCCCCGCAGCCCTAACAAACTCCTTGGGCGAGTACGCCTGCTAGCGCCAACAGCTCAGAACTGAGGAAGCGAAGAGGGTTTGAAGTGAGCATGACCAAGTAACTAAGGTGCTGGTATCATGCATCAGGACCTCAGCACGATCCATGTCCTGCAAAGTTTAGACTCTCCTATAAATCTTGCCAAGATTTAGATGCCAAATCCTCGTTCAACCCGGCAAGACAGGAACCTCAGTTATTCCAAGCAATCTACTTTCTATCCCCTCGCCCAAAACAGTCGATTCAGCCCCGACTTGACGTCCAAGCCTCGAGCATTCTCGAAGTGCATCTTGGTTCAGGTGCTGGGCAGCGGCAGCGGTCATGGCCGAGGTGATGCGTCATGCCCGGTCCTGCATGCCCACATCAAAGGACGGGCAAGCCAAATTGAGGCCTTGAAGGCTTCAAGGTACTTTCGGGGGGTTCGGACTGTGCGGGGTGAGCTCGAGAAGTTGCAGCGGCCGTAGGCAGCTGCGTACAAGCCTGCGTGAGGGCTTATTGTTGTTGCATCATCATGTGGCCTGCTTACCGCTATGCTTCCAGTGTGGTGGTCTCTACGAATGTTACATGATCTGCACGTCAAAGAGAGTCTCATTCGTGGCGGTCCATAATATGACAGTAGCAACCGGCTGCAGGAGGACGGCCGAGCAGCCCAACAGTGCAGACAATGCCTCGATGTTGACAGCATGGCCGCCTCCCTCATGAGTGCAAAAGGGTGAGATAGACGCAGGCTCATCACCAAAGCGACACGTTTTGACACCAAGAGGCCATCGTCCGACATTTTCATGCTGGTGGCTGGTCAAGATACCGACCAGACACAGCTTGTTGGCAAACCCTAAACCCAAACAATATGACAAAGGATGCAGCCTTGTACAGCTCCCCCCTGCCACTAACGTAGCAGGTTTGGATACAGATTTGAGTGTGGAGACTGTTCACTGAAGGAGGAATCCCACATCCGTGGTCTTTGGGTAGGGACCTTGTTTCAGAAGCTGGCATCAGCAGCACTCCACCGCTATAAGGGCACCCTGACGTAGAACCGTTCGCATTGCAGCATAAGACAAACATAGACAAACAATATGACAAAGGATGCAGCCTTGCACAGCCCCCCTGCCACTAGCAGTTTTGGATACAGTTTGACTTGACCCTGCTTCTGGGCTGGAGTGCAGGACGGAGGCAGCGAGGCATACTAAGTTTGAGTAATTGCTTGGTTGTGGTATTGAGAGGGAGCCCCTGACATGGCAGTCTTTTCCGAAACTAACATTGCGGTAATTCTTCTTCTCCTCAAGCTCGAGGTTATGCAAGGCAGACACGAAGAACGCCTTGTCTGAGTTTTCTCGTGGTTCGCTCAGTCTCTGCTCTGCCAAATTAAATCAACAAGCGCTGAAATGTTACCAAACGACCATTGGGGATCATCAGATCTCGTGCAAGACAAGTCTGCAAGTTGAATCTTCTTATACTGTCGTGTTTTAAACTGGCATCATGCGCTACTGGTATTATTCTCTCTCCGACCGGAGGATTGGTCGTTTGCCATTTTCTCTGAAAGCCCAGCCTGTCTTTTTCACTCATGAACTGTGATCTTCTCTTGTAGCTGATTGTAGCTGACTGTAGCTCTTTGCCAGAAGCTGGGGGCCGCTGGCTGGCGCTTGCCAGTTCGGTTAAGCCAATCTCCACCCGGTAAACCCTCAACCTCTGAAGCCGACCTCTGCAAACTCTTCAGCTGATTCTACGGGTTTAGTATTTAGGAAACCTTAAACTC